GCTAGGGGTTGGACTGAACCTTTAGATTGCTTTGGGTAATGTGGTCATTTTAACAGTATTAATCCTTCCATTTCATGAACATGATATATCCTTCATTTGTGTCCTTTTCAATTTCTTTCTTCAGTATCTTTAATTTTTTATTGATTTTGAGGGGAGAGAAAGAGAGAGACAGAGAAAGAGAAATACTGATTTGTTGTCCCACCCATTCATGAACTTATATGTGCTCTGATAGGGGATCAAACCCACAACCTTGTCATATTGAGACAATACTCTAATCAACTGAGCTATCCAGCCAGGGCAATTTCTTCAGTGTCTTAATGTTTTCAGAGTACAACTCTTTCAGCACATTGGTTAAATTTATTCTTAAGTATTTTATTTTTTTTTGGTACAATTATAAGTGGGATTGTTTTCCTGTTGTGGTTCAGACTTCCAATACCACATTACATAATAGTCATAAGGGTAGGCATCTTTTTCTTGTTCCTCAGCTCAAAGGGAATGCTTTCACCATTTCACCATTGGGTATGAAGTTAACAGTGGGCTTGTCATATACAGCTTTTATCAAGTTGAGGTAAGTTCCTCTATACCAACTTTGTTGAGAGTTTTTATCTTAAATCGATGATGATATTGTCAAATGCTTTTTCTGTATCTATTGAGATAATCATACGATTTTTGTCCTTGGTCTTGCTGATGTTATTAACCACATTGTTTTGCAGATGTTGAACCACCCTTGCATACCTGGTATAAATCCCACTTGATCATAGCACATAATTCTATTAATGTATTGTTAAATAAGATTTGCTAGTATTTTGTTGAGAATTTTTACACCTATGTTCATCAGAGATACTGGCCTATAATTTTCTCTTTTTGTAGTGTCTTTGTCTGGTTTGGGTGTCAGGGTAATGCTGGCCTCATAGAGTAAGTTTAGAAGCATTCCTTTCTCTTCAATATTTTGAAATTGTTTGAGAAGGAGAGGTACTAATTCTTCATTAAATGCTTGGTAGAATTCACCTGTAAAGACATCTGGGCTTTTGTTTGTTGGGAGTTTATGGATTACTACTTCAATTTCATTGCTAGTAATTGGTTTGTTCAGATTCTGTTTCTTCCTGTTTTAGTCCTGGAAGGTTATGATTCTAGAATTTATCCATTTCTTCTGGATTGTCCAATTTCTTCATAGTAGTCTTTAATAGTCCTTTGTATTTCTGCAGTGTTGGTTGTAATCTCCCCTCTTTCATTCCTGATTTTACTTATTTGGGCTTTCTCACTTTTTTGAATCAAAAAAGACTTCATATGATGAATCTTGCTAGATTAGATGTTTGTCAATTTTTTTAATCCTTTCAAAGGACTAGATCTTAGTTTCATTGGTCATTATATTATTTTTCTAGTGTGTTTTATTTCTGCTCTGATCTTTATTTCCTTTCTTCTATTTACTTTGGGTTTGTGTATTCTCCTTTTTCTAGTTCATTGAGGTATAAAGTTAGATTCCTGTTTCTTGAGGTAGGACTGTACAGCTATGAACTTTCCTCTTATAACTGCTTTTGCTGCATCCCATAAATCTTGTAAAGCTGTGTTTTCATTTTCATTAGTCTCGAGGTAGTAGTCTGTTGTTTAATCTCCATAATGTTCTATAAATGTCTAATAAGTCAACCTAGTCTAATATAGCATTTAAGGCCATTATTTCCTTAGTATCCATTGAGGTAAGTGGAGTGTTAATGTCCACAACTACCATTGGTATTAATTTCTTCTTTTACATCCATTAATATTTGCTTTACATACCTGGGTGCTCCTATGTTGGGTGCATATTTACAATTGTTATATCTCTTTGGGCTTGGAATGACCAATTAATCATTATGTAATATCCTTCGCTTCTTTTTTTCTTTTATTTTTAGAGAGAGGAGAAGGGAGGGAGAAAGAGAAGGAGACAAACATCAGTGTGTGGCTGCCACTCATGCACCCCCAACTGGGGACCTGGCCCACATGTGCCCTGACTGGGAATCGAACCGGCAATCATTTGGTTCACAGGCCGGCACTTAATCCACTGAGCCGCACCAGTCAGGGTCCTTTGCTTCTTGTTATATTCTTTGTTTTAAAGTCTATTTCATATGATGTGAGCACTGCTGCTAGAGCTTTGTTATTGTTTCTATTTGCATGGAGTATCTTTTCCATCCCTTCCCTGTCTGTGTTTCTTCCAATCTAAAGTGAGTCTCTTATAAGCAGCAAATAGATGAGTCTTTGTTTTTTTTTACCTATTCTGCCATGTTACATCTTTTGATCGAAGCATGTCATTTACATTTAATGTAATTATTATAGGTATGTGCTTTTTTTTTTTTGCCATTTTGTTATTTTTAGGTTGTTTTGTTGTTCTTCATTGCTCCTTTCTTCTCCTCTTGATCTCTTTCCTTTTGATTTCCTGGTTTTCCTTGGCGTTTTAATTGAGTTCCTTTCTCTTTACTTTTTGTAGGTTTTGGTTTACGGTTACCATGAGGTTCATATATATCCATATATTTCTATGAAAGGCCCTTGTGTGTGACTTGTTTCATTCTTGTCTCTTTACTCTTAACTTTTGCCATTTTTGTTACAGTATGTTTTGGTATGGGCCTCTGGATTTGTCTTGTTTGGTATTCTCTGTACTTCCTGGACTGGAATGTCTGTTTCATTCCACAGTTTAGGAAAGTTTTCTATCATTTTTTCATATATACTTTCTGCCCCTTTCTTCTCCTCTGGAATCCCTATAATGTGAATGTTGGAGCACTTTACCTTATACCAGAGGTCCCTTATACTATCCTTATTTTTAAAATTCTTTTTCTCATTTTGTTGTTCTGATTAGGTGATTTCTACTTTTCTGTGTTCCAGGCTGCTAATCTGTTCTTGTCTGCTAACTAATCTGCTGTCAATTCCTTCTAATGTATTCTTTATTTCAGTTAATGTAGTCTTCGCTGGTTCTTAATTACATTTTCCATTGTTGAAGTGCTCTCAGAGTTCTATTCTATTCTCAAGTCTGTTGAGCATCCTTATGACTGTTTCTTTGAATTATTTATCAGGTAAATTACTTATCTCCATTTTATAGTTTTTCTCCAGGTATTTTTTTGTTCCTTCATTGAGGCCTATTTTTTTGACTCCCTATTTTGTCTGACTTTCTGTGTTTTTTCCTAAGATTTGCATGAAATAGCTATCTCTTCAATTTTGAAAAAGTTGCCTCTGTGTAGATTGTGTCAGATGGATTCAGCAGACCAGTATAGTTAGGGTGGGTACCTGTGGTGCCTGATACATTGCCAGGACAGAGATGTGAGTTCTGGATGGGGAAACCTGGTATGTATGTGCTTCCTTGCTCTTTTGATCTGGGCAGGGCTGTCCAGAGTAGGGAGAGCTGCCCAGTTTGTACAGGGTATGTCCTGTTGGGTTAATTATCTGTCTCCTGAACCAGGTCTGGCAGGACTGCTCTGTGCACATGCCTCACAATACCTTCCTAGCTCCGAACTTTCTCCAGATGGGGCAGCCCTAGGTGCACACACTGCTATACTTTGCTTGCTCAGTACTTCCTCTCTGGGCAAAGCAGCCCCACATGTGTGCACAGCAGTGCCCCACTATCTCTGCCCTTTCTCTGGATGGGCAACCCTGCCTTCAGGCACCACAGCGTTTTGCAATCATCACACTGTTTCTAGGTGAGAGAGCCTCATGTGCATGCACAGGTCAGTTGGTGCACTCTGTGGCACACTGCCATAGCAGCTGAATCAATACCTGGGTGGAGGGGCCCCTTGTATGCCAGCTTCAGTGCCCTCCTCCTGCTCCTGCTGGATCTAGCTCTAGAAAGGGTGGCAGGGGATGTGCTACAGCAGCCTTTCAGGTTGGCCAGAGAACCTGGATGGATCTCCTACCTACTATCTATGTGCTGGGAAACATTAATAGTTGTATTCCTGGATAGTTCCTTCAGCTCCCAAGAACTCCCACAGTTTCCTAACCTTCTCAATGTGGTCTCTCTCTATCATTCGTTGTGCAGAAGCTGTTCAACTGGTTCTTGGTCATCTCTCAGGAGGAACTGCTCTAAATGTAGGTGTATATTCAATGTGTTCTTGGGAGAAGTGTTCGGCATCCTCCTACACCACCACCTTGGGCTCCACTCTAGACAAATACTTCATTCAAATCATCCATTCAACAAACATTAAATCAGGACACCCAGTCCCCTGGCCTTAAAGACTAGTATGAAGACAACACAGGCATATAAGCAACTAATACTAACTAGGTCAGTTAAACACCATAGGATGGTAGAAATAACCACTAACATCTGCAAAATGCTTTAGAGTTTATGTTTCTTAATAAGGCCTCATAACAACCCTGAGAAGGACATAAAGCACTTGGTATTATTCTCATTTTACACAAAGCTTATAAGCAAAGAGATACTACTGCACTATACCTCTTTGGGGCAGCTTTCTGTTAGGAGCTGATGATAGAGGTAGATGCATTTGATAGGTAAAGAGACCACAGCATTCCAAGGAAACTATATACACAGAAGTCTAGAAATACAATATGTGAGAAGGAACTGCTGGGTTGATTCACACAAGACAGGCAGAGGAATATGGCTATTTGGGTTGAAAGCATGGGGAGAGCTTTAAGCAGCAGACTTAGTGTCTGTTCATGACCCTACAGATAATAAGAAATCAGATGGTTTGGGACAGGGAAGGAAGAAAAGAACATAAATGAAGACTTACTGTGCATTTCATACTTTCCCAAAGAATTGCTTCATAGTCAGGGATATTAAGTTATGAGGTACTATTTAAAGGGAGAATAGACTTTCATAAGTCTTCTGCAGAACTGGAAAGAGGGTCTAACAGAGGGGAAAATGGTAGAAGACTATCTCTGCAGTTTCAGTATAAGGGAACAGTAAATGCAAAGCAATATTCCTGTGTCTGAATGATGATTTTTACAGGTTCCCTAGACTATACCTCCCATATTAAAACAATGTCCTAAATTACCTTAAATTTTCTTACATATTTACTAAAACTTACCGAATCTTCTGGAGGTCTCTGGATTTTTCCCCAATCTACAGAAGGTCCCTTTTCTTGCAAAAATCTATGAAATAGCTTGCGAAATCCATCAAGGTCTTTTTTAGTGTGCTATGAAAACAGAAATCATTGTTACAACTAGCAGAATGCTTAATATTTAATAAAACCAGATAAATATTATACACTTAAAATCCTTTTCAATGAAAATCTCACACTATTAGAATGGAGTCTTTTTTTATACCACAATTTAAAATTAAAGAGGAAGTAAAAGCTGACAGGAACCACACTTAAAGGAATACAAGCAAATAATCCTCCCCACCTCCCACCAGTATCATGTAATCTGAATACCATTTGGTCCATAGGAATTCCAAATGGTTCTCTTTTATATTCACCAGTATCTTTCTCAGCTTCTGTTATGTGAAAATTAATCTTCACCAAAAGAACAAGAAGTAACAAAACACAGCTAACCTCACAGTAAGTACAAACTGAAATTTGAAAATGAAAGGGATAATCTATTGATTTATAAATAGAAAGGATGTCTATTATACAATAGCTGACAAGTAGCATAGTTCTATTAGAATTGACTCTTTGGAAAAGGTATGCAAGATATATGGTTCATAAACTAACTTTTCACAATTCTAACAACACTGATATCCATTTCTTCACCCAATGATATCAAAACACAGAATACAGTATAATTTTGTTCTGATTGTCTTAGACTAGAAACTTCCTAGAAATAAAAAAAAAAGAGACAATGGTTTTACAATGGCCAAATGTTGAAAACTCTTAATTGTTAAGCAATCTTAATTTTTTTTATGTTCCCATTACATCTTGTGTTTATTTTAAGCTGGATGATCAGCAACTGCAATAGCAATTCAGCAAGCAGATGAATGAAACCAAAAAGCATTGTAGAGTCCTTACCTCAAACTCATGTGATGGTGCTGTGCTGAGTATTTTTTCTAGTTCCTCCTTCACAGATAATTCTAGCTCTTGTCGAATGACCTCTTGAAACTGAGAAGCGCCATCTTGCGACATTGCTTTGCTAAGATCTTAAAACAAAAATATAAAACCACCAACTGAAAAATCAGATAACCATTCAAACAGCTGGCAAGCTATAACTGATTTCTTTCTGGTGTTCCAGCAAATGAAAAGGGTTCAACTCTATAGTCCCAACATCCTTGCACCTAATTTCAGTAGTAGCAATTAGTTAGGACTATATAATCACATGTGCTCAAATTTGACTACTTGGTACATCTATATGCTTTACTAGTATATCTGAAACACTAAACACTTTTGGGAAGATGGGGCAGGTGGAAGTAAAAGGATTAGTCCTCATTTGAGTACACAATTCTATCTCTACTAATGTTTCCCTCTAGCCATCAAAGCTGGAGAAAAATCAGAACAATTGGAATAATGTTAATAAGGGTATGTTTTATGGAACATATCCTTATGGAACTGCTGCAACATAAGATAACTGAAGGGATCTAGCAACTTCGCAGAAGCAAAAGACTCCTCCTGCCTCCAGGTCAGATGAAAAATTTAAGAAATCCTTTCCACTTTAGAAGGACAGCCGAGTACTCCAGTTTCACATTTCTTGTTGGAACAACTCCTTGAGAGATAGATAATGGCAATTCCAAGGTGCCTCTACTTCCCTGGCATCAAAATTTTCACTTTAAAAGGAAAAAGGAGAAAGGCACAGGGCTGATTCCCCACTCAGGTCCTCAATTTCAGCCAAGACATTTCTGTATTTATTTTTGTCAGACAAGACTATCAGGGCTTTTGGCATAGCTGGGCATTTCTGTGACAGATGGCTCTTACTAAAGGCGACAGAAATGGTTCTTAGATGAAAACAAAAATAGAAAAACACAAAAAAGAAAACATCCCAGGCCCAAGTTCCTTAGGAGAAAAATGCCAACACAGATGTTTCACATACTTAAATATCTAGTAGTAATTATCCTATTTCTTATAAAATAAGAGACAATAAGATTATTGTTCCCCTTCCCCTTTACCCTGAATACCTACTTAATTCAATCTTAATTTATAAATGTATTTGTGAAGCTTATATTCAAACATTTTCTTTGATAACTAATTAGTTCTACAAATACTGGTTAATTTAGCAGAATCATATTTCACATACCATAAATTCTTTCACTTGTTATCTAGGCAGAAGGGAACATTTATATAGATAGAATTAAAGCCAACATAATAAATATTTTGAAGATACTTCTGAGAGCAGAAATTAGTATATTAAGTTAACTCCTGAGGCAATTTATTTAATATACACAGCTTCTCCCTCTCCCTAATATCTAAAAATGTTAACAAATGAGATAATAACATAGCTCTCCAAAAATATTTTATATATACTTTCCATCATACTAAAATCCAAGAGAGGGAAAAAAAGGATATTTGGTGACCGCACACAATCTAATCCCAAAATTGCCATTTTCTAACTGTGCTCTTTTTACAGGAATAAACCCACAACACAACTAAGTTTATGGACTCCAGTAAAACTACCAAAGTGATCCAAACTGTGGTTCATAAATAAGGTCTTTGTGAACTAAAAAAAGACCATAAACACATGTGTGTTCCATAAATAACTTAAAGATATATTTCAACTAATAAATAGCAATTATAATCTGTAAAAATCGATGATAATGGATGAGGATGTTTGCATAACTATGACAGGTAACTAATAACCTCCTCCAGAACATTTTAAACTAGAGCTAAGGTGACATCACTGACACATGTTCATCCCTTGGCTAACTTAGCTGTAATTTAAAATCTGTCACAGGTTAAGTCCTCTACTCTGCCACCCAATATAGACCTGGGATGTCTCTTCTCCAGCCTTTAAGCCAACTCCCATATTAATGTTTAGAAAATAATTTGGAAGCAAAATCTATAAATATAAAATCTCTAAATTAAAGAACACATGAATTACCATGGCCAGGTAGCTCAGTTGGTTAGAATATTGTCCCAAATGCTAAGGTTATAGGCACTTACAAGAATCAACCAATGAACACATAAATAAGTGGAACAACAAAATCAATCTCTCCTCTCTCTCTCAATTTTAAAAAATAAAAAACACATGAATTGTTTCTATGTCAGAGATTGATTAAAATAGATCAAGGAATTGCTATATAAGGATTTTTTAAATAAAGGGTTTCTTTGTTAAGACTCAAAGACATCTACAGACTTGCTGTGTTGTTAAAGCTAGATCCTGAAGGCCAGCATTCAGTCACATTCCTAAAAAATATAGTGATGGAAACATTTAACTTACTTATATTCTGGGCAAATGCCAAAATGAGATAAAACTAAATGTAACTGCTAAATTTAAAAATAACTCTACTAACTGTCTGAGATTTGTCTACATGAGAACAGTCCAAAGGGGGGAAAAAATCAAAACCTCACACCAAATTTTAAAGACTGCAGAACAGCAGCCTATCAACGTTATATGACTTAAGGTCAAAAGGCACAAACGAACCCCTGCCACTATCCTCCTTATCAAGCCAAGCTAAGAAGACTGGCTGAAAGGCTCACATTTAATATTACATGTGATCTTTGCCCACTGTAGCAGCTTCAACCTTCAAACAATGATTCAAAAAGACAGAACACAGATTCAAATGTGAATTGTGACAAATAGCCCTAACCTTTATTCCTCCCATTTGTTTGACATAGCACCAAATGCAGAAAAACAATTTGTATTCCTTCCACCCCCTCTACAAGTATGAACAGCTTACACAACAAAAGAATATTACAACATGCTTATCACTTCTTCCACCCTATTCCATAAGCTGTTTCCCTCTCCCTTCCATGAGGAAAGTGCAACTATGAAGTTCTGTTTTTAACTGATTAGACGCTAAGGAAGGAATTTTAAGGAATAAAGAATATTGAAGAATAAAGAATAGTGCATTTAATCAAGAAGAGTGTCTATCTTGCACAGACCAGGAGGCACAGATCTAGAAACCATTTCCCTTTGTACTGACCTCCTTAGCCATCTTGAATTTTTTAAGAAAGGCCTGGAATTTCTGGGTAGGAAAAGAAGCACAGATATTAGAAGCTTTCCTGAGCTTTTAACATTCTCAGGTTACACTTCTGGCAATGACAGCTGAGATTCTAATGGAAGGTCAATTAAAGTATCCCTTGAATAATGCAAGATTTCTAACCTCCTAAAATGTTTTTTTCCCCTCATTTCCTAGCAATAGAGAATTGATTCTCCCTGACTTTAGACAGAGAGTGGAATAGGAATCAAACATTTCATTAACTCAGTCATAAATCAAAACATTTTTAGAGATGATAGGGAGCATTTAATCTACCCTCAACATTTTACAATAGGAAAATGAAGTTGAAATAATTTAAATGACTTAGCCAAGGTCACACAGCAGGCTATTATATGGAACACAGAAACAAAGCCAATTTATGCTGAGGCACAGTCCCATACAATGAGGGGAAAATATCTTGCTCATTATTTTCCTCTTGGTCTAGCTCTTTAATCATGGCACAAAAATCCCTAAATAACTCCTCCAAAAACACTTCTATCAGAATGTCTTCTTATATTCAATGGGACAAAAACTACCTCCACATTGAAACTGGGCTTACTAGAACTGTCTTGTTTGACTTAATGACAATTTAGACAATTTGGGATAGCACAGGCAGTAACTTTCTACATGTTTTCCCCCACCTCAATTTCCTAATTCTCCCTTGTTCCTAAGAACTAAAATTTCCACATCATGGACTTTCCTCTATCCAACTGGAGCCAAGAACAACTTAAATAATAAATAAACAAACAAATAAAGGAGGCCGAGAAAAAGCAGTAAATCAAGAGGTAGAAGACAATCTAACATGTGATTGTTTTCATTCCTTAATTCAGGTATTTCATTTCATCCATTTCAGCAGCTAAGAAGTGAACGTATTACCCTTCCCTAACATCAAGATACTGGCAAAAACAGAACAACTTCACACTCTGAAGTACAAAGATAGCTTCACAAAGCAAAGGCCATGGAAAG